GCTTCCCTAGTATAACAATTGGCACCAATCCTTTTTACATATTACCCACCTTTAGGGTATATAGATCAGCTAAGAAAACGTCTGGACAGTAAGTGTGATTTTGCCAACGAAACAATATATAATATTCAAATAATACACTCTATAAAATGCAAATAAACATAAATACAGTAAAACTTAAGTTATTTATGTCTTGGTTAAAACAACACAGATTGCTGTGTTTGTGCTGCTTTCCAGCCTTTACATGGATTTGCTGAATTCCATCACCAGCACACCTACATTTAATACAATAAAGGGTTAATTATTTAGGATAGGTATTGAATAGCAACTGTAAATACTGGGCTTCCTTGAGGAGAGCTTTGGAAACGGTTAAGCTATTGAAGCACATTCAATTACGATGTACTCGATGTGTGAAATGCAAGTGATTTAGTGTGATTCAGCTACTGTTCCCAATAACTTGAGTTAAGTTAGCAGGTTAGATTCTTTTTTAATCATCAAATAGCAAATAAATGAAATAGTAGCTGCAAAATGTTACTCAGTAAACAAAACTGCTTATACAGTAGCTTGAAAATAGTTTGTACTTAGTCTTATAAGTATACATAAATGCTTAGAATTTGTCATAATGAATGAGCTTTTCTTCGCTACTTAGCTACCATTACTAATTAGCTAATCAGCTTTGCAGCTTCACTACCTGAGGGTCGCGTAGCTACTGTTTATTTAGGGGTGCGCAATATATCAGAACCATATTGATATCAGGAAATAAATGCTTTAAAAAATGATCAACACCAATATTTCCAACCAATGTTTGATGACCTATTCATTTGTACTACAGAGGAGCAGAGTGCTCAGGCATTGCTGGGCTACTGTGCCTAACTGTCTGCGTTTCATTCATTTAACTGCATTTGTAAAGCTGTAGAAATAAATGTTACATATCATTGCAATGCAGATGAACATACTGTTATGCATTCAGTGTCAGTATTAGGTAGATATGTACATGAAAAGTATCAGGTGTCTGCATCGGCCTAGAATTCCCATATCGGTTCGTGCCTTATTTTAGCTCCTAGCAGTCTTTATGGTGCACATTTTCAGTAGTTTCCCTGGTAGTGCGCTCCCCTGGTACAGCTTTGCAGAAATAGCCGAGATGGCTCTTTGGGGCCTTATGTGTGTGATGCTCTTAAAGGAATAGTCCGCTTTTCCTTGTAAAACATTTTTAAACGTCTGAGAGGGAAGAAAGTGGAAAGCAGTCGTCACTGATAACATTCAAAAAGTTGAGAGGAAGGATTGTGCAAAGCACATCACTTCTCACTTTCAAAACAGCTGTAAAGTTCAGAAAACTGTCTAGCAGTTAGAAAATATTGACTTCATGCTGTATATTGAAGTTTCTAAAGGCAGCTCAGGCTCGTGAAGTGCCCTGTGAAAGCCAATAGGAGGCCATTTTTGCATTGTTATGCTTTAGAAGTACAATTATTTTTCTCTTTCGCTCTCTCTCTCTCTCTCTCTCTCTCTTTCTCCACCTCCACCTTCCTCTCTATCTTTCTTGTTTTGACTAAAGGTAAAATTAAGTGGGCTCTTCATTTCCCTGTATCGCTTTGTGCCAAGTTAATTTAGGGACTTGTTAAGTAACGACTCTCGCCAAGTGGACTTTATTTAGGCTGACTTTGTTCAGTCTTCAGCTTTATTGGTTGCACTGCAGTATTCCTTCTTTTAAAAGGGACGACAGTTAAACAGCTTTTGTTTTGCCAAGAGAAAAGTGATGAAAACAATGGACGTGCACAGATACACATAAGACCTGTTCTGACTTTCTTAACAGGCTTTGTTTAGTCTAGACTCAAACCAGACACAACATAAACAAGCTGAAAGAAACATGGTTTCCTCTTTTCGCTTCTGGTGCTTTTTTGCGTCTTGTTTCCAAGTAAGCGACGGCCAGCGAAAAGTGCAAAGTGAGGGGAGAGACATTTTAAAAGGTGCAATGTGTCTTTAAGGGAGGTTCCAGCAGCTGCAGAGCTTAAGTTGATTAGGCTAAATGGATTAGCAGTCATCCTGTGATGCCGTTGCCTGGTAAACATGCTCTAATTTGGAGGAGGGGCAGACCGACGATTAACCTTCACTATTAGGACAGCTCTGTCCACGTCATCATGAAGAAGATCAGAGACATGCTTTGTCCTGTCACTATATCTGCACTGATCCAGAGACAGTGTCCTCCTGACTTGCCTGAGATTTACTGTTCTCCTATAAAGGCATAATTTCTACTTATATCTTATTAACCTATGGAACCCCAGGCTTATTAATTTTCATGCTTATTATTCAGTGTCTTCTATAAGACTAACGTAAATTGTGTATAACCCTAGATCAGAGAAAGTTAGGATGGTATGGAAAATGTCAATTAAAAAAAGAAAGCACGTATTTCTAAAATTTACTTTGACTGCAGATACACAAGATATCATATTTTGTCTGATCAACCTCATTTCATTTGTAAATATACATCAGTTTCTACCTTTAAGGCTTGCAGCACATTCCAAAAAAAGTTGGGACGGGGCAATTTAGGGCTAATAATGAGGTAGAATAATTAAATAATGATGTGATTTGAAACAAGTGATGTTAACAGGTGATTGTAATCATGATTTGGTACAACAGCAGCATCCAGGAAAGGCCCGGTTAGGAGCAAAGATGAGCCGAGTTCTTCAAAGAAAGATAGGAAGAGATCTGAATATTTCACCCTCTCCGGTGCACAACATAATCAAAAGATTCAAGGAATCTGGAGGAATTTTAGTGCGTAAAGGGCAAGAGTGCATACATAAGCTGAATAACTGTTCTTCGATCCCTCAGATGGCACTGCATTAAGAACTGTCATTCATCTTTAAGCGATATAAATACATGGGCTTTGGATTACTCTGTGAAACCTTTGTCAAGCATTACAATGTGGAGTTATGTCTACAAATGCCAATTTAAACCTTACTGTGCCAAAAGGAAGGCTTATGTGAACCATGTCCAGAAGCACTGCCAACTTCTCTGGGCTAAGAGGCATCTTGGATGGAGCATCACACAGTGTAAACGTGTATTATGGTCAGACAAATCAACATTTCAGGTCTTTTTTGGAAGAAATGAACGCCAAGTGTTCTGGACCAAAGATAAAATGGACAAACCAGGCTGTTACCAGCAGGAAGTCCAACAGCCAGGGTCTGTCATGGTGTGGGTTTGTGTCAGTGCCCTTGGCAAAGGTAACTTACACTTCGGTGATGGTACAATTAAAAGGACATTAAGAATTTGGCGCAACATATTCTGCCTTCGATGTCTTTTCCAGGGACGCCCATGTTTATTTTAACAAGACAATGCAAAACCACATTCTGCACGCATTACAAGGCTTGTCTGCAGAAGATGAGGGTGCTGGACTGGCCTGCCTGCAGTCCCAACCTGTCTCTAATAGAGATTGCGTGGCGCATTTTAAAATACAAAATGCGACAATAAAGACTCCGTACTGTTACTGTTGTACTTTGTACCTTAAAACTTCTGTAGGAAGAACGGGACAAAGCATCTGAAAGGTTTTATCACTTGGTGTCTTCAGTTCCTAAACATCTTTTGTGAAAAGGAAAGGCAACGTTGCAAAGTGATAAATGCTTTACTGTCCCCACTTAAAATATATTGCAAGAGTCAAAATTGAAATGTGTTTATTTTGGAAAAAAAAAACAAAAAAACAATAAAATTCATGGGGTAAAACATCAAATGATGTGCTGTTGTATTGTAATACAATACATGTGGTGTCAGTGTAATACAGGTCACTGTTTTAAGTTTTAATGTTAGTTTAACACACTGTTCCAACTTATTCTAAATTTAGGTTATTACGTTATTTGAGTGAGGAATGAAAGTGGGGGCGCACATACAGGATTTATTTACAAGCGATTAACATATCATGTTAGCTACTTTTTCAACTTTATCTTTGCTGGCTTTCATTGATAGGTTGTTTTGGATTATGACCATTACTCAATTACTCAACTAAAAAAAAAATCAGTTCATCAATTTGTGCAATTGGCACTGATTGTTTATTTTCATTACTCAGTTTGTAACCCTACAGAAATAAATGTTACATTTCTGCTTGTTGCTAATTCTGTGATAATTGCCAATTTCTACATTTTAATGTTAATAAATGTTTATGTATCGTCAGCTGTGCACAATTCCCATATCGGCACATCACTAATATTTGCCACCTGGTAAATATATTTAATTAAAGTCTTTATTAAAGCTTCATTGTTGATATTTTTCCACTGAAAGTTTTTTCTTTGTCTTTGCCAGGATAAGCATTGATATGAAACGACATTGTTCAGTACTTTTTTGTTTAAAAAAGCTCTAATCACTCGAGTAATCGTCAGAATAATCCATAGGGTACTCAATACTAACATAATTGATAGTGACAGTCCTACTCTGTGGTTGTTCTGTCCAGATTCAACAACCTAGAGTGCTGTATTTGTGCACCTTTTCCTGCACCCTGCTCTCCTTTTTTCTGTCTGTTAGCTTCAGCCTACATGTTTTTAATGCAAATAAAACAAAGGCACTGGAAAAAAAACACCTAACTGGGCATTTCACAGGCGAGCCACACCTCTCTCTTCACTCCACACCTCTCTAGCTGTTTACTATGCAGCAGTGTGCTGCCTCTCTTGGGAGCATTAAGCAGCAAATCATGTCTGACCTTCAAAAACAGGAAGCGGCCTGTCATTGCACGCAGCGATGACTCCATGTGAAGCCTAATGAAGAGTCCCAATTAGAGTAAAGAAGGGAAAGGAGGGTAAAGAGAGCATGCTGTGTTAATTGCTGAAGCGGTGCAGTGTTCCCAACACCAGCAGGAGGATATTTGTCACACCTTTTTAGCTTTTTAAATGAGCGTGCCCATAGCAAGTGCTCTGCTTGTTCCATAGAGGAAAGGTGTGCGTGTGCGAGAGAGAGAGAGAGTGAGTGGATGAGTGAGAGAAAGGGAGCACGTAAACATTACATGACTATTTGTTTTAATGCAGAACCAAGACCATGAGTGAGCCCCAGGAGCATGCTGATGATGTTGGCCTGATAACACATCAGGATCTGTCAGAGACCCCGAAGGAGGAAGACCCTCACAGCCCTTCACACTTCAGGCAAGTCATGACAGATTTATGTTCACAGGGCTGCACAGATCTTTGTGCAATGGTATTGCAATGTTGGCCTTTGCAGTGCTGATATCACAGGAGGCTGCAATATACAAGTGAGCCCATTTACAAGTGCTGTGAGCATCAATCACAGTTCAGTGTTTCCCTACAATGTCAGAAATAAAGGTTCTGTTCAGGTACATTTTTCATTCATCAAGGTACAAACAATGTAAATGTTCCCTCAAAGGTGCAACAGTGGTTTTAAGGTCCATTTGTGAACCTTAAATAAGTTAATACGAAAATATATATATATATTTCAATGGATTATGGTACGGTTATGTTCCCTGACTAAAGGTACTGAGATGTACTCTTGAGAGTCCCACCCTGGTGACAAGAGGGGTCCTGCCCCAGTGACAGTTTAGTACCTTTTTTCCGAGAATGTAGGTTAGTTTTCAGGCTGGGCTCTAGAATCTGTGAAGCTACCAGAGTTGTCACACATGCATGTTGCAATCTGAAGTAGTATCATCAATACAGTCAATACACTGTACATGCAAATACCCCAAGACTTACATTCTCTATACGTTTATTTTTAAGAAGCGCAATTGTGTGATTAGGAGTTAATTTATAATCCGCTTATTTGTATCAACTTCATGTGTGACTGAATGTTTTACAATTCAAACTGAAACAAACAATAATTTACACACAGTTCTGTAGAAATGTTTTAGACTAGTGTTAATCATTCTTTAGAGAGTTATTCTACTTGGGCTTTGAAGTCCCAAATTAATCTGGTTTTATTTATTAGAGCTTGACGATTGCCATAGGAAGCTGATTGCTTATGTCTGCAAACACCTAGAAGTGGGGAGCAGTTGCTGTTTTTGCTTGTCAACAGAACAGCAAAGATGAAAAACTTCACATCTTTTATTAACATTTACTGAGCACCACATTTTAATAAAACAACCCCAAACTGTTATTTCAGTGTGCAGAAAAAAGCCTTCTTCGTCTGTATAGTAGAAGACTAGAGCGAGATGCTGCTCCTGTGGCACAAGCCGAGCTGCCACGTACTGCTTTGTCACCCTGCCATTACATCGGACTAAGGGTTAAATTTAGTCCATCTTCACATGTCAGAATCATTTAATAGATAATAAGGAATTTTATTTGAGCAAAAAATGAGTGGATAACACAAAAAAACGAATGTCCTGGATAAGGATGCACTGAAATTTAGGCCACCAAAAATTTTGAGTGAAAAATTTTCAAACTCTAACAAATAAAAAGGCATAATATAAAGATGCATTCAAACAGTTTGAGCAGCATCCATGTGCTTTACATATTAGAAAATAAGTTGTTTTCCATTGTTATAGTGGAATATTAATATTTAATATTATTTATCAAGCTGTTTAAAATTTAAATTAGTCCTCTAGTTCTCTTTCCCAACGTGGTAATTATCTCCTTTGAAGCGTCAGAGTTATTACGTTAATTCAGAAGCATAAATTAAATGGAACATTTATATGTACGAGAACCTTTTATTTCCATTTCGATTTTGCTCAAGAATTTTAATTTTGGTCCATCACTAGTTTCAAAGCAAACATCAGCTGGCCAGTTACATCCTGATCTCCAACATCTTACACCCACGGCAGCACTCCTGGAACTACAGCGTTTCCCCCACACTGTAAAAATATGCAGCTTTTAAACTGCATAACCAGGTAAACAAGCAATTTGGAGTTCCTAGAACTTGTAATATTAACGGAAGAATTATTTGTGTTTCATATTTGTTAACTTATATTAGGTTTAATGAACTCAACATTTTAAGTTAACCCGGTTAAAAGCTGCATACTTTTTTACAGTGTACAATAAAATACCCTGGATGACCCTTCATGCCAAAAACACAGCCTATTTTATTATAGAGAAAAAGCTGCAGTTCCAGGTCAGTGTTGCTGTGGTTGTTGTAATTCCCTTAAGATTAATGTAATCCAGCAAAAATGAATGATATTGGTCAAAATATTCCAGGTCAGTCTTTAACAATGTCACATGATTGATTCATCAGTTTCTTTTTAATGTATTTTGAAGTCTATTGCAATATGAGCAATATAATCACAGTACTAGTAGTTTGTCCATACTGTGCAGCCCAAGTTCACAGCACAGCTGTTTTTATGGTTGGAGAACGAAACTGGCTGTACTGTAATACATTATAGGAAAGTGCAGGATTGCTGCATGTATTTATTATCTACAAATATGTCTGCATTGTTCTCATGAGTGTAATTCTTCAGAAGATGGTTCCCGAGAGGAACTTTACTCCGTAGGAACAAATTTCTTATCCAGTCCCTGCATATGAAACAGGGGTGTTGCCTTCTGTTATAAGCTCACTTGGTTGTAGTTTTTACATTGCCCATATATTTTTGTCATGATATTTGCAAATTACTTTAAGTAGATACCAGCTCATTTTTCTAAGCTCTGATGTATTTTAAAATACTCTTTCTCTTACTAGAGTACAAGTTAGGAATTTTTTTTACCCCGATTTTCTCCCCAATTTAGTCATAGCCAATTCCACCCCGCTGGTTAGGACTACCCCAATCACACGATGCTATCAACGCTAGGAGGGTGAAAGCTAACACAGGCTTCCTCCGAGACCTGTGAAGCCAACCACCGCTTTCTTTTCGAGCTGCCGCTCACGCAACGTCGAAAGCGCCAACCGCCAGATCTGTTACGTCAGCTAACAGACGCCTGCGCTGACTAGCATCGCGCTGAGTGATGGGGGGAGAAGGGCAGCCATCCCACCCACCCAGAGAGAGCGAGGCCAGTTGTGCTCTCTCGGACTCCCGGCTACGGACGGCTGTAGCATCACCAGGGATCGTACTCGTGATCTCCTGATGATAGGGCCAACCCTTAGACGGTTGCGCCACTCGGGAGCCCCAAGTTAGGAATTTGTATCCGCTACAATAGGTGGATAATTAGGTGTAATCAAAAAAAATATAAAATAACTGAAAAAGTATGAAGTACAAAAAAATACAAAATGAAAGTGAGGTAGAGGTGAAGTGTTGTCATAATTAAATGTATTTTGCTCTAAATTTCCTCAATAATAAGAGTGTAGTGTTTTCAGTCCAGTATCGAATGCACACCCCTCTGTCTCTTCTGAGCATCTCTCATTTACTGTCTTTCGTAAAAACCACTGTCAGTGATCAGAAATATGCAGCTGAGTGCATCATTTCACAGTAAAGTGGGTGGGGAAGGGCCTAGTTTATGCTGTACATGCTCTCAAGCCCAAATCACGGGGCTTTTTTCTGACGTAGCTTTTAGGTTCTGAGGGGTTTATTTTGTTGTTTTGTTTGCCATGGCAGGAATAGAAAGAAGTTCTGTTGGAGGAATTTTTATAGTAATTAGAGCTCTTTGGAATCAAGACGTTTTTGACACAAATAATATCTGAAATCAAACCTTGATCTCAGAATCGTAGATTGTATCAGACCTTAAAATAAGTGTGTTGTTGGACCGCTGCTGGTGAATGACCGCTCTTACTGATTTAATGCTGTCTTTTAGATTTTGGCTTAACACACAGTGAGGGGAAACAGGTATTCAGACACTGTTTTTGTTATTAAATGTATTTGTAGAGCATATATCCACTTTGAATTTGCACACATATCATTTCACTTTGTACTTATGTGTGAACAATAAGGTATGGATTCATAAGCCAGAACACATATGTGTTTAAAAAAACCATTAGTACTTTGTTGCAAAGCTGTTGTTGACAATAACAGCATCAAGACATCTACAGTAAGAATTAATTAAGTTTTTGCTGCATTGTGGTTCAGTTTTTCAGTTCATCCTCAATTCACCAAGATTACAAGCGTCCCTCTGATGGATTCACAATATCCACAAAATCCACTGTAAATATTTAGATGGGATTCCAGTCAGGAGGTTGGCCATAGCTTGAGAGCGTCCTTACTTAAGTTATTTCGGCTTTATGTTCGGGGTCTTGTTGAAACGTCCCATCTACTCCCCAGATTCAGTTTCTTAGCTCATGAGATTAACTTCTCCTCTAATGTGTCCCAGTACACTGCCCCTTTCATGTTTTCTTCAGCGACCTGTGATGCTTCAGTACCGTTTGCTGAGAAGCAGCCCCACATCATGAGGCTCACACCTTCTCCTTCTGTGACTGTGGTTGTCTTGGGATCAAACATGCAATCCTTCTTTTTCCAAACTTTTTTTTTTTGGTCATCTGATCAGAGAACATTGTTCTGAGAGAGTTATGATTAATCTAAATGCTGCACTTGAAGCGTGTGGGACATTCAAGTGACATTCTTTAGACTTTTATATTGCCGTTTTTCAGTGAATTGTACTGTAACTACTTTAATTCAAGCCTGTGATACTAATAATGTAGTTGTTTAGCAAGTTTGCTATCTTTTATCTTGTTGGCCAGCTGACCAGCCTAGTTCTAGATAAGAAAATAAGGTTTCAGCCCCTCAGTTTAAACAAAAACGGGTTTTTACTTCATCACTTCACTCGGTGCTCCGTGTGATCAGCGTTAGAGTCAAAGATTAATCCATTAACAGCAGAAGGGTTTTTGATGCAGAGTTCAGTGGTTGTGAGGCGTCATAGCCGTGGTAAATTGTGGATTTTACAACGGCTTCCAACGTGGCTCAGCCGATCAGATTGCAGGACCATTTTATAAACAGAGATAATTGAGGTGCAGTCCATTGCAGCTCTTTTCTTGTGAAGCTGCTGGCTTCTCTTTTACCTTTGTTATTATTAGTCTGAGAGTGTGTTGTGAAATGACATGGCGCATCTGCCTGGAAATGATAATTGTGGTTCTCTGAACTTTCCACTCGCATGTTATCAAACCAGTTGTACTGACAGGAAGGTTTAAGGTCTTTGCTAGGACTCTGTAGCCTTTCCAATCGAATGTTGTTAAATAATTTTGTCCTTGAGAACTTTCAGAAGCACCACAATTGGGAAGATTTCATGCACTAAAAACCAATCAATGGTAATGACACCAGGTGCAATTTGCGTGAGATTGTTTT